ATGTGTAGTGGTATGGAGGTGGGGGAGACTTCTTTGGAGGAGGTGCGGATGTATAGTGATAAGGTGGAGGGGGAGACTTCTTTGGTGGAGGTGGAGATGAGTAGTGGTATGGAGGGGGGGGGGACTTCTTCGGTGGAGGAGGGGATGAGTAGTGGTATGGTGGTGGGGGGGATTTCTTTGGTGGAGGAGGAGATGAGTAGTGGTATGGAGGGGGGGGGGACTTCTTCGGAGGAGGTGGGGATGTATAGTGATAAGGTGGTGGGGGGGATTTCTTTGGTGGAGGAGGAGATGAGTAGTGGTATGGAGGGGGGGGGGACTTCTTCGGAGGAGGTGGGGATGTGTAGTGGTATGGAGGGGGGGGGGACTTCTTCGGAGGAGGTGGGGATGTGTAGTGATATGGCGGAGGGGGGGACTTCTTCGGAGGAGGTGGGGATGTGTAGTGGTATGGAGGTGGCGGAGACTTCTTTGGTGGAGGTGGAGATGAGTAGTGGTATGGTGGTGGGGGGGATTTCTTTGGAGGAGGTGGAGATGAGTAGTGGTATGGAGGTGGTGGAGACTTCTTTGGTGGAGATGGGGATGTGTAGTGATATAGTGGAGGGGGAGACTTCTTTGGTGGAGGAGGGGATGAGTAATGGTATGGTGGAGGGGGGGACTTCTTAGGTGGAGGTGGGGATGAGTAGTGGTATGGAAGTGGGGGAAACTTCTTTGGTGCAGGAGGTGATGTGTAGTGGTATGGAGGTGGGGAAGATTTTTTTATTGGAGGAGGTAATGAGTAGTGATATGATGAAGGTGGTGATTCAGATGGAGTTGGTGGAGATTTGTAATAATAAGGCTCATATGCCACCACACTGGTGGCTGCAAGGCATAGTGCTATGGCATGTATCATTGGGGACAAATGCCCCATCTTCCCCCTGCTTTCCATCTTTAGAACTATTGCTTTTTGTGTTTGCATGTTTAGCATGGATGCCAGCCCTTTATATAGTGATCTATTTAATCATTGCTGAAAAATATGTGTTTTTTTAATGATGTATACAGCCTGGATTCAAGCATAAAATTAAGTTTCAAATCTGACTGAGGTACAACTTCTATATTCTTGTCTTTTGACTACTTCTTGGTGGTTTCCCACGCATGTAGTAAACCTTGAAATTGTCAGCATGAGAGTTGGTGAGGTGCCATAAAATTCTTTGTTAGGACTGTGAAACGCGTTCGTAGCCAAGTTGGTAATGCTTTAGCCCATTACAAAAGATAACAAAGGTGATTATCAGGAAAAATTAAGTCAAAGACTTCTCAATCTCACGATAAAATTTGGTGCCATTTCTCATTTGGACCTGGTAAATCCTTGCAAATTGGCTGAACATTGTACTGAAAGGATTATGTTGGAAGGTATCAAGTTACTTCAATACTAGCTCTATAACAAATCTATGTTTGATCCAAATAAAATATCTCACCGTCGTCGGCGAAATTGAAAAACAGATTGGCACAATACATTAACATATCCTTAAAGAGCCACTGTCAAACAGCTTATTAAAAAAATGCCATCTAACTCTTATGGAGTTCATGAGGTTTGTGTCCGTCCATGATCTTAATTGACTTTGTCAAGCAACAAGTCGATATGAAAAATCAATCTTCTTTGTCTTGAGAGTCGAATCAATTGATTTCTTGTTAAAATGTCACTGTAAGTTTTGACATTAATTCCATGATTATGCCCACCTATATTACCAGAATTTTTAAATTTATTCACAGTATTTTCTGTTGATATTTATACTCACAGTTCGTCAACAAAAACTTGTCGAAATGATAACAAACAGAAATAATCTATTGGAAAAATTCTCGTTGATAATTTGTGGTATGTCGGTGAGTCCATCAATAATAATTTTAAAGATGGATTTACTAATAAAAAAAACACATACAAAAATGTTTTTTTTACTCGTTTCATTTTATTAGTACTTCTATTTATCATTGATAGAATAAACATATGTCATTCCATCGGTGATTTTTTTCTCCATCAATGAATTTGACATGTAACCATTAAACAAATAATCTTTTATTACGCCAAAGAGTAAACAATGATAGTGATATTTGCAGTAATTGTTTTTCCAATACTCTAGAGTATATCAACAAACTATGTCCATCGATAACTCTGTGAGCAATAATTTCAATACACACACACACACACACACTAAAAAGAAACAAAAATAATTAAAAAAAAATGAAATTAATAAAATTCAAATATTTATTATAAATTTAAATATTTATAAGTTCAAATACAATTAATCTAGAATAAAGGCGTTGGAGGAGGAGGTGAGTCTTCGCCTGGACTATGGGGCAAATAAAAGGAAGCACATGTACCACCCATTTGTAATCTCATCTTCAATACTAATCAGCGAAGTTCGGTTGTCTCAACACTAAGTTGTTCATAATCAGTGGTAAGACCGGCCATTTGATCCTTAACTCATTGGTTTAAAATCACCTCGAACTCTAGAGTTTGAGTGCTCAAAACTAATTGTGAGCATCCAACCGTTGAAACACTACGGGCTATCTGCAAGAAATCGATTGTAGTGTTAGAGAGAGACCACACAACTAATTTTTATCGGGTCCACTAGATGACCATGCCTCCAAGAAACTTAAGAAAAAAAATGGTTGAAAACAACATACCATAAAGTGCTAAGCTCGGCTATCTACGAGATGTTGCATCCCTTTTTAACGGTCATCAATCTGCACATGTGTTTCCATTAAAAGTTCCATCAGGTTTGGTTCGTATCAAAGACCTGTACCCCACAAGATAAATTTTTTAGTTAAATATATTTATAAAAAATAAAAAATGGTTCGCGTCCAAGAAATGAAAAGAATGGAGTTCCCGATGTGCGTGGTAACATAATTGTGAACATGTCAGTTTCAGTTTTTCGCACCGAAGTGTGATCATCACACGAAATGATCGGACATCACATGCCGAATATATTCCACTCATAATGCCTCTAAGATGTACGAAGGTCTGAAATCCTTCCAAATCACCACCTCCTTTCAGCCTAGAAGCTCCCTTTCTTTCGTTTATTTTTTTAGCTTTCTTCTACGTCTCATACCAAAAATCATGCAACCTATATAGTACAAATGAATTATCTGTTAGTAAATAAATAATAAAATTAAATAAAAGGATTAAAAATATTTATCACGATTTCAATCTTACTTAGTTGTAGCGTGATTCTCCTAAACCTTCTTGTAATAACGTTGATCAGCTCAATCCCATTAAAAATTTTCCTTGGAGTTAAAATTTGTACAAAAAAATTTTCATTAATAAGTTAATAAACTAACCAAATTAACATAATAGTAATAAAAAAATTAAGTTAATACTAAACTTAAACCTTCCGAACCATGCATCAACTATAGGAATCTGTTTGGCAACGAGGTTGCGTCTGTGTTTTAAACAAAATGCAGACGCAACCTGTTTGATAAACAAAAAAACATATTTTACTGTGTATGGGTCCCATGTATTTTCATGTCCGAGATACAAGAAAAGAAAAAGCAGCATTTTGCTGCTTTGTGCACACTGTTCACGCTAATTTTAATTAGCATCAATAGTGTAGCATGCTACACTATTCCGGCTGGACCTGTTCTGGGCGGACCGGTTCTGGTTCAAAACTCAAAATGCATTGAACCAGGTCCGATCTAGTAAAATAAAAATTATTTTTTTATTGTATTTTATTCAAAAAAATAATGTTTAACATTATTCAATGACATTACATAAATTAGACAGAGATCGTTTGATGATGTAGCATTTGCAGAATTTAATCACAATCCTAATTTTGTTCCTGATGATATTTTACCTGATGTTGTTGCATGTTTAAGAAACCAAAAAAACTGAGGTTCTTGTCAGATGTATTTCATACGTGATGGAATTGTAGATAGTTTAATTGAACAATAAAAATTATTTTGTATAAAGTATTATTTATTTCATGATGTAATAACAATAGTTAAATCTACAATATTTAAATTAAAAACCATCAATATTAATATATATTTTTTAAAATTATTTTATAACTTCAATTTCAAAAACATTATTAACCAAACATATTAAAATATTTTTTATTTAACCTCAATTTCAACTATAGTTTTAACCAAAAAAATTATGGAAACTGTAGTTCTTGTTGGATGTATTTCATATGTAATGGAATTGTAGATGGTTTTATGGAATAATAAAAAATATTTTATATAAAGTATGATTTATTTCATGATGTAATAGCAATAGTTAAATTCATAATATTTAAATTAAAAATCATCAATATTAATATATATTTTTTTAAAGTATTTTATAACCTCAATTTTAAAAGTATTCTTAACTAAACACATCAAACTACTTTTTCTTCAACCTCAATTTCAACCACAGTTTTAACCAAACACCTATTTTTTCAAACCAACCTCAACAGTCAAATCTATATAGAATATTGATAACTATTAATTAATTACATAAACTAAATAACAAAACATTGGTTTGACTCAAACTTATTCAAACTATTTTAACAGTACAATTAATTCATTACTAATTATCTACATAAATTCAGATTTCTATACATTTATTGAAAATTTCGACTCAGTAATAAAATTAAAAAAATATAAAGGAATTCATTAAATAAGTCATTATTTATTTCATCACAAAACACCTAAGTCACAAATTCAAATTAAATTTCATCAATTTACAAACAAATACAATTTTACAAAATCTCAAACAAACCCCATGTACAAATAATACTTTTATACAACAAATTTCTATGAGAAAAAGCTATAAAATATATAAACACCCCAACAAAAATACATATAGTACAAAAATATGTAATAAAAATTAACATTTTAAAATTAAGTTTAAATAAAAAATGGGTAATTTTGCTTACTTGAAGTGAGGAATCCTCAATAAAATTTAATCAGAACAGAGATACTGATAAACTGAGTATTGAGGAGATTAGATTTGTAGTGGGAGGTTGATTTATGATAAAATTAAAGGGGGTTGTGATGTTTGTTATAGGGAAAAATAGAGAAAGAAGGAGAAATAAAGGAGAGTGAGAGGATGGTTGCTCGTCATGTTATAAATTAAATATTACATATGAATTTATCAATGAATAAATTTAAATTAGTTAATAATTCTATCTGTAAAAATAATACATCATAATATTTTGTGGTTTTTTTTCATTTTTTATTGTAATTTTCTCGGTATATATACCAAAAGAATATTTCCATTAGTGTTTACTAATGCCTATTGTGAGGGCATATTTTATTAGAAAAATTTATCATATTTTACTTACAGAATATTTTTATTAATATGTTCGTGTCTGTTTATATTTGTTAATTTTCTGGTTTTGCTGATAAGGTTAAAATTAAGGTTTAATTCAGTTGCAACCCATCCAATCTCTAACTCCATGGGCAAGGAGATTGCACTAGCTTCCTTAACGTTTGAAAAGGAGAAACCATTGCGAGTAATGGTTGCAGGAGTGGAAATAAGTTATTATTTTCTTGTTTGATTGGCCTATATATATATATATATATATATTACTCTATTAAGGACAGAAGTTTGAGAGTATTTTATCTCATTGTAGTCTGTATATATCATGGAAAAGTGAGAAGATTCATTTCGACAAGATACGATATTATTTATCACTGCAACAAAATATTATTATTATTGGAAGGCCGTGTATTTGGTGCAAGTTATGGAAAATTTGAAGGTTCGTCTGAAGACACGCACAAAAAAAAAAGTCTGACATATTAAGGGAGTTGGTCAGTTCACACGCAATGAAAGACGTGACAATGCAAGTACTTATGTTTGTGTTTGTTAACTAGGGAGTCAAAAGAGCCCCCACCCGCGCGCGCACACATAGCTGTAGACAACTTTCTTCTCTTTCAATATTATCTTTCTTTTTATTTAACAAACACAACATGGATATTTCTAATTCTTGATCTTATTAGTATTTGAATTTGTTAAATAATTATTGCAATCCAAAACTTAAGTTATTGAAAGAATTCTAATAATAGTTTTTATGCATCTTATTTCACATTAATTTGACGTGATATTTTTTTGATTTATTGGAAACAACCAAACTTTACTTCCTCGAAGAAAATTAATGGTAGACACTTGTTAATGACATACTAATTAATGACTAGTTCTTCTTGAAGATTACCCAGTTATTTTTTCATTTCCGTACATAAAACAAACTTGAAATCGATCAATTCGACTTTGGAAAAATGAACGGATTAATTTTAAATATATATTACTGCAGCCTCTTGACGACTGGATCAATAATGTAAAGTGCCTCTGTCAGCTAAGTAAGTCATGCCACGGCCCATTTCAGTCAAAATTTTGATTGTTTGTGCCAGGCTGAATGTTTCTAGCTGGAAACTTTCAAGTAATAATGTCATGCATTGATATGAAGTGTTCTATTTTTCACTGAAATAAATAGCTAAATTAACGTGCTGTCTGCTAGACTAGTGCTCTAGTTTCCTGTACATGATGTGCTCATAAAGAATATTATATGTAAAATTCTCCCATACTAAATATATAGCTAAAATAGTCTTGGCTGCTACCTCTTCACCTCCTTCTAGAATAGAGACCTCTACCAATTCTTCCTTTTCTTCTAAGTTTTCTGCTAATTTTTATCTTTTCGGTTTCATAATTTCAAAGAAACAAAAATGACATTCTCACTAAGATCACCAAATATTTTAGGGTGTTTTTTTTATGCCCACCTCAGCTAAGACCTTTGAATTCAAAGTTGAACACTAATAATTTATCACTCAATGAAGTTTTAAACTTTAACTAACAATTCTAGACTTATAAACAAACTAAAATCTTAATACTTAAATATTAACAATAAAAAAATAACTAAAATTCATGAATAAAAAAGTTTCTGGCATATAAAAATAACTTACAAACAAGGAGTTGTTTCTAATCGAGTACATCCACACAATGAAGGTTCTTGATAGGAAAACATACATGTTTTTGGTTCTTTTTGGGTTTTTTTATTATAAAAATTACTGCCTACTGATTACAAGTTTACTAGTTATCAGCCTTATGGTTATAAATCTACTGGTTACACCCTACTGGTGACAAGTCTATTTGATAAACAAGTTTTGAAGACCCTATCAATTTAGTTGAATTACATAGCAATTATTGTTATTGTTGTTGATTTGTTCCTCCCTAACACCCTTCTTTAAATTTGGTAATTAACTTTTATTTCAATTTATATCAATCATTTGTTTTAAGGATCTTTCTACATGCACAGGCTCCTTTTTACCTTCATGTTGATCCATTCTTTGTTCTATTTAAACTCTTTTTTTACATAAGTTTAGATTTCTACGAAGTATAATCCACAATCAAGTCTGGTTTGTTCTCCCTGTTCTAAACTTCATCTCTTCTTGGTTAACATTGAACTTTATTAGTTAAAAGTAATCTATTTTATCCAATATACAATTATTACATAGTAGCAATCTTATAATCCAAAAGAAGTTCCGATTCCTATATTAATTGTCGGTGTATTTTATATAAGCTTTGTAATGCTGTTCACTAACTTGTTTTTACACCTTGTTGCTATTCTCTGTATGCTATCTTGGTCTCTGCTTTTTTTCGAATCCACTTGATTTATTAAATTAAAATTGAAACTACAATTGTCAGATAACAGGGTGGAACAGGAAATTATGAGTGTCCCATATAATTTAAAAACTGTAAGTTGGCAGAAACAAGATGTATCACATGGGATCTTTGTCTTCCTACCTTGCTACCATTTTCCAGCTGCTCCATTTTTGCAGCGGAAACTTTTTTATATCTCTCACTTATTATATCAATATCACATATTGATTAGGAGTTGAGGATCTAAGTAGTTTATAAATTCCAGGTATCACATATTTCTCTTCAAAAGGCGTTGTCATAAGGCAAGATCCACCGTGAGACTGTGAATCCAAACATGAGACAGTAGTTCTTAAGAGGTCAGTCATGTAACAAATTTAGACCAACATTATTACTCACCATTTATAAACTCCTTCTCCTTCGTTGCTTTTAAATAAATACGTTGGCTGTATATATATATATGCGTGTGTGTGTGTGTGTCCGTATGAAGTTAAAAACCAATGTCGATCTCATTAAGATCTGATAATTAATCAATAGATTTCATATATATATATATATATTCATAAATGCAATAATTCATCTAGCAAATATAAGCAAGAAATCTCGCTCTTGGAAATTAAACTACAGCAACAAGAAGAATTGGTTCTTGTTCTCTTTCGTTTAATTGTAACTTCTAGCATAAATCAATTATTGTTAACCTCAATAATGGCCTTTCAAACTTAAATGATTTGGAAATCTTCCATCTTCTCTAATTTCACTTTCACATGGAGCTTTCATTTCCTTCATATTTCAACGGAAGAGAACTCACAAGACAAATGATGATTACTGGTTAAAAAACGAATTATTCATTGCTTATTAGTCAACGTTTTTCCCAGTTCGTCCCCTTATGTGAGACCAGAATTAGTTGATAACATTATCTGGGTTGCATTAAACTAATTCTGGGATTAGTTAATAACTTCCCAGTTAGGATTGCCTCTGTACGCAGGACAAGAATGGATAGCCTATGCAGGGTGCACCGGGTGTGTGTGTGTGTATTTAAAAAATAAAGGCCCACTTTTTTTTTTTATCATATTTATTATTATTTTCAAAGTCCTATACTGGCAGCACACAAGGGGTAGAAATTCACTTGAGTAATGACTCGTGGTGTTGGAACTTAACTTGGAAGAGAAACTTAAGGCCTGCATAGTTGAAGAAGCGTTCAGTTCTTGATCTGATTCAAGAAATTAAGTTGAAGCAGAATATAGCTGATTCCGAACATTGGAAACCAGAAAAAAATGGTGCTTACTCAATCAAAACGTGCAACAACTTCATTGATAGAATTGATTACCCGAGTATATTTCTTCATTTCCATCTAATACATTTGAAGGAAGCAATTTGTTTATTTTGTGCTGAAAAAATTGAAGTCGCGAATCATCTTTTTCTACACTATTCTGTAGTTTGGAAATTGTGGAACCGTTTTGTGATATGTTGGACTTGCAATGGTCTATGCCAAAAGGAAAATTTCAGAGCGACTTTTGGTATTTTATGGCGAATCTAGTTGGCTAGTAACAAATTGGTTTTCCAAGAATTGGGATACAATGTTTGAGCTAATTCTTCCCCGTCTAGTTTTATAGTTGCGGACAATTAATAGAAACTTTATATAAACGAGATTGAACTTATTCAGAGATTCAGAACGTATTATAAATTAGTCAAATAAGTATAGTTTTATTAGATCTGATCACAAACATGGTTTTTGTAAATATTTCATATTCGTTTCTTCTTTCTTTGATTTCTTTCGTAAATGGAGAATTGTAATTTTCTCTTTTCATGGTAATTTTCCATTGGCTTTTTAACACTAGTATCTATCAATAAATTCCTTGATTATTATTAAAAAAAAAACAAGGGGTAGAAATTCTTATGCCCAATTTTGTTGGACATAATTGACTTGTTTAATTATTACATAAAATAAAGTTTACTTGTTAACATTCGGTTTGTATTGAAAATGATGAGAGCATAAGTTGATCAACTCCCTCGAACGTTTCAATCCACCATAATTCGGCCTCTATTATATCTTTACTTATAAGTCAAAGTACCTGACCTATCCTATATTTCTTTAGAATATCCAGATAACCATGTCTTAGCCTAGGGTTTTGACTAGCCTAGCTAAGACAAAAGGTTTCTTCGCAGTTTGTAATGGAAAAGGCACAGCAAACAGTGAAATCGCTTTGGGCCAATAGACATTTAATAACAAGACATTAATTTTCAAACTTGCAAGAAGCAAAAATACATAATTTTGACAGATAGAGAAATGTAACGTGATTTTATCGTTTCAAATCAATGCAATTACAACTATTGCATTGCAAAGGATAAAAAGAAATGTTCCAATGAGCACTTCTCAGTGCAAAAGAATTCACCATTAGTATAGAATCTTGATCCTTGTTACACAGAAAAAGTTGATTTAAACAAGTTAGAAACTTGTTCATTCACAGCAAAGAAAAAGAAAGAAATAGTAACTTATTGCCTGTTGTTAAAATTCAAATTGACACTACACAACTTAGTAGTGTTTTGGTGGTGGGGGTGATGCATAAATGTATGGAGGAGGTGGAGAGTGACTTGGGGGTGGTGGAGGTGATGATGATGGTGGTGGTGGTGATTTATAGTAGTATGAAGATGGTGGTGACAGAGATGGAAGCGGGGGAGACTTCTTTGGAGAGGGTGGTGATGTGTAGTGGTATGGTGGCGGGGGAGACTTCTTTGGAGGGGGTGGGGATGTGTAGTGGTATGGAGGTGGGGGAGATTTCTTTGGAGGAGGTGGGGATGTGTAGTGGTATGGAGGAGGTGTAAACTTCTTTGGAGGAGGTGGGGATGAGTAGTGGTATGGAGGTGGGGGTGACTTCTTTGGTGGAGGTGGTGATATGTAGTGGTATGGAGGTGAGGGAGACTTCGTTGGAGGAGGTGGGGATGTGTAGTGATAAGGTGGAGGGGGAGATTTATGTGGAGGAGGAGGAGATGAGTAGTGGTATGGGGGTTGAGGAAATTTATCTGGTAGAGGTGGGGATGTGTAGTGGTATGGAGGTGGTGGAGACTTCTTAGGAGGAGGAGGGGATGAGTAGTGGTATAGAGGTGGTGGGGGAGATTTCTTAAGAGGAGGGGATGTGTAGTGGTATGGAGGTGAGGGAGACTTTTTAGGTGGAGGTGGCGATGTGTAGTAGTATGGAGGGAGGGGGGACTTCTTTGGAGGGGGAGGGGGTGAGTAATGGGATGTGGAGACTTTTTTGGTGGAGGAGGGGATGAGTAGTGGTATGGTGGAGGGGAAGACTTCTTTGGAGGAGGTGGGGATGTGTAGCGGTATTGAGGAGGGGGAGACTTCTTTGGAGACTTCTTAGGTGGTAGAGGGGATGTGTATTGGTACGGAGGTGAGGGAAATTTATTTGGAGGAGGTGGCGATGTGTAGTGATATGGAGAAAGGTGAGACTTCTTTAGAGACTTTTTAGGTGGAGGAGGGGTTGTGTAGTGGTATGGAGGTGTGGGAGATTTCTTTGGAGGAGGTGGCGATATGTAATGGTATAGAGGAGGGAGAGACTTCTTAGATGGAGGTGGGGGAGATTTCTTTGGAGGAGGTGGCGATATGTAATGGTATAGAGGAGGGAGAGACTTCTTAGATGGAGGTGGGGGAGATTTCTTTGGAGGAGGTGGCGATGTGTAATGGTATGGAGGAGGGAGAGACTTCTTAGGTGGAGATGGTGATTTATACTGATATGCAGGAAGGGGAGACTTTTTAGGTGGAGGAGGGGATGAGTAGCGGTATGGATGTGTGGGAGACTTCTTTGGAGACTTCTTAGGTAAAGGAGGGGATGTGTAGTGGTATGGAGGTGGGGGAGACTTTTTAGGTGGAGGTGGCGATGTGTAGTAGTATGGAGGTGAGGGAGACTTCTTTGGAGGAGGAGGGGATGAGTAATGGTATGTAGGTGGCAGAGACTTTTTTGGTGGAGGAGGGGATGGGTAGTGGTATGGTGGAGGGGAAGACTTCTTTGGAGGAGGTGGGGATGTGTAGCGGTATTGAGGAGGGGGAGACTTCTTTGGAGACTTCTTAGGTGAAGGAGGGGATGTGTAGTGGTATGGAGGTGGGGGAGACTTCTTAGGTGGAGGAGGTGATGAGTAGTGGTATGGAGGTAAGAGAGACTTCTTTGGAGGAGGTGACGATATGTAGTGGTATGGAGGAGAGACAGACTTCTTTGGTGGTGGGGGAGATTTCTTTGGAGGAGGTGGCGATGTGTAATGGTATGGAGGAGGGAGAGACTTCTTAGGTGGAGATGGTGATTTGTAATGATATGAAGGAAGGGGAGACTTTTTAGGTGGAGGAGGGGATAAGTAGCGGTATGGATGTGTGGGAGACTTCTTAGGTGGAGGATGGAATGTGTAGTGGTATGGAGGTGGGGGGGACTTCTTTGAAGACTTTTTAGGTGGAGTTGGTGATGTGTAGTGGTATGGAGGACGATGAGACTTCTTAGATGGAGGAGGGGATGAGTAGTGGTATGGAGGTAAGAGAGACTTCTTTGGAGGAGGTGACGATATGTAGTGGTATGGAGGAGAGACAGACTTCTTAGGTGGAGGAGGGGATGTATAGTAGTAAGGAGGTGGTGAAAACTTTTTTGATGGAGGTGGGGATGTGTGGTGGTATGATGAAGGGGGAGACTTTTTTGGAGGAGGTAGGAATGTGTAGTGGTATGGAGGTGGTGGAGATTTTTTTGGCAGAGGTGGGGATGTGTAGTGATAAGGTGGAGAGGGAGATTTTTTTGGTGAAGGAGGTGATGAGTAGTGATACGAAGATGGTGGTGATTGAGATGGAGATGTTGGAGATTTGTAATAATAAGGCTCATATGCCACCACACTGGTGGCCACAAGGCATATTGCTATGGCATGAATCATCGGGGACAAATGCCCCATTCCCCTGCATTCCATCTTTAGAGCTCTTGCTTTTAGTGTTTGAATGTTTAGCATGGATGCCGGCCTTTTTTATAGTGATCTATTTAATCATTGCTGAAAAAGATGTGTTTTTTTTAATGATGTTACAGCCTGGATTGAAGCATAAAATCAAGTTTCAAATCTGACTGAGGTACAACTTCTATATTCTTGTCTTTTGACTACTTCTTTCTTCTTGGTGGTCTCCCACGCATGTAGTAAACCTTGAAATTGTCAGCTTGAGAGTTGGTGAGGTGCCATAAAATTCTTTGTTAGAACTGTGAAACGCGTTGGTAGCCAAATTGGTAATGTTTTAGCCCATTACAAAAGATAACAAAGGTGATTATCTGGAAAAATTAAGTCAAAAACTTCTATCTTACGATAAAATTTGGCGCCATTTCTCATTTGGACCACGTAAATCCTCTCAAAATGGCTGAACATTGTACTGAAAGGATTATGTTGGAAGGTATCAAGTTACTTCAATACTAGCTCTATAACAAATCAATGTTTGATCGAAGTAAAATATCTCACCGTCGTCGGTGAAATTGATAAACAGATCGGCACAATACAATAACATATCCTTTAAGAGCTAATGTCAAACAGCTTTTTAAAAAATGCCAACGAACTCTTATGGAGTTCATGAGGTTCGTGTCAGTCATGATCTTAATTGACTTTGTCAGGCAATAGGACTATGAAAAACAAGAATTGTATTGAAATAAAGTATGAAAGAGGAAAGTCATCAGGATTTTTATATTGATGCATCAAATGTAATTTTTAGAATTAAAAAAAAAAACAAAATATAATTGTGAGTAAATTATTTCTTGAAAATTAGAGTGATTTTTGCTTGTATATATTTTGGCCATGCAAAGACAAAAAATCATTACCATTATCGTGTATGTGCTAGAATCAAAAAGTCACTATTTAGTTGTTTAGTTCAGAATTATTAGGAAATTCAATTGTACTAATCTTATATAAAATTTTAAAATAAAAAAATAGTTATGGCTAAGAAATATATTATTACCCTTTAACGTACATTACTTGAAGTAAGCAACATGCATTGTGTAGTCTAGATGTAGAATAAAGATATTGATGGTTCCTAACCAATAGTCCATCTATGACTTAGAATAAAGATTTATTCTCATAAATAAATATGACGCTTCAAATTTATTATGGGCTCGTGTGCCCAAATAAATTCTTGTGGGAAGAATCAATATAGGTGCCCTGATAGGGTTCGCTTATCCTAGAAGGCAAAAGAGTTCTCCACAGCTTGTATGTTAAGGTAAAAAACACTCCCAATTAAATTTGGTGAATACCCAAAATAATTTTTGGAGTTTTCAAATCAATTTCTACTATTTAAATATCAACTTACTTGTAAATTCAATATTTATACTAGAATGTTAACCATTAATTATAATTTTTGGAGTTTTCAAATCAATTTCTAATATTTAAATATCAACTTACTTGTAGATTCAATATTTATACTAGAATGTTAACCATTAATTATCATGAATTAAATTTTTTAGGGGTTATTGAAATATTAGCCAAGTTCTCATGGATTCAATAAATTGGTTATTAAATCCAAAAATTCATGCAAAGATATTTTTTAAATTTTTATGCATATATAAAAAATGTCAAATCATAACCTATATATATAGCAAATTATGATTTCTATCTTTTAAGAGACTTAGCCAAATGCACACCAAGTGAAATCTTTTTTTTTTAATGAGAAATTTGTTTAAGATATTTTAGAAATTTTTGAGATTTTGACAAGAAACAAGTATTTTAATACCATGTCAGCATCTTATAGTATAAGTCTACAACCCTGATATTAAATAAAATTATTAGAAAAATGTGTAATGGACCCACAAATAATTTTAAATTAGCCCTTGAACCTTTTTTCTTTCAAATTTTTAGAAATTTATTCGGGGCCTGTTTGACAGCAAACCATTTGTATTCAAAACAAAATTGTCAAAATAGGCATAAAGGTGCATTTGTCAAACAACCCCTTAGGCTAAATATTTCTCAACGAAAAAAGTAACCAACCAAACAAAGGTTTAGTGCCTCGCCCAAAGCAAAACCAATCAGGCTGACTCAAAAACACTAGTTGAATCAAACTAAAAACCATGGTTTGATCCAAAACTAAAGTAAAACAAATAATTAAATTAAAAAGATATCAATACTAAAATAAAAACAAAAAAAATAATTTTTTTTTCAAAAATAGATTAAACACCAAGAATATGAAGAATACAATGAATATTGAAATCGAAACCCAACAAACACAGATAACAAACTGGATAAATTTTCATGCAATCAAGGGCAATGTTTTGTTTGTAATCATACATAGATCAAGAACTAAGCATCCATCTTCTTTGATTACTCTCAAAAACCATGATTTGATTAAAATGTATTTGGGTAGTCGAAAGAACCCTAAAATCTAAATGTATGAATATGTGTTATTGATGTGTTTTAACCCTAGACTATTTGCTAAAGATGACAAGCTAACATGTCTACACAAAGAATTAACCAAAAAAACTCCAACACAGGAAGCTAAGGCAAAGTTCATGCGAAGAACACGAACCCAAAATCTAGAAAATTTCCTAAAATTGAAGAACTACTATCAAAACCTATATTTGGAAAAACAAATTCAAACACACTAAAATTTTAAAATTTACAAAATGGTCATTTCAAAGGTTGGAAGTGGATTAGAGAGATTGTTGGGAACTCAGGAAGAATATTGAAAGACTTTGGGGCTAGAGCAATAGTGGTGGCGTGTTTGTTCCATACGCCACCCCCCCCCCCCCCCCCCCCGCCACTAGTAGTGTATGAACCCATGCACCAATGTTGATGAAGCGAAAAATGGGTGGATCAAGTAGATCACCTCTTCCTCTTCATATCTGTACCGATAGTGTCATACATCATCACCCACAAAACAAATAAAAACACGCAAACAATTAATTTTTCTTTTCTTTTTCACAAATATATTTCATGGATCAATTTTCTCGATTTTTTTCTCCTTTATAGATGATTCAACAATAAACAATTAGGGATAGGTGTAGTATAAGTCGGCATTATGGGTAGGGATTGGTTATTGGTCCTTAGTCGGGTTGGAGAGGAAGAGATTGTTGGTTGTGGTGAGGACACGCTATGAAGGATGTTGTTGTTAGGTGAAGGAGATGATGTTGGTGGGTCACGGGAGATCTAGGCTAGGAAATGTTGGTGGGATCTGTTGCTCTGTCATTCGTGGTTACTGAAGCTACTGGGATGTCAATGGCTGGTTGAAGATAAGTTGTATTTGGGGCTGTGATGAAGAGCCAAGGTTAACAATGGATGATAGTAGATGGCTGCTACTAGTCCTACTATTACGGTGGTAATGTTATGATGGTCTTTGTGTTTCTTGGGGAGGAGTTGTGGTTGTGGCTGAGGAGATCATTGGTTTGTGGTGTTTGACTAAGTCCTAGTAGAGAAAGGTTAGGGACGACAACACTCCTAGCTTTAATGGTGGTTGGTCATGGGGGTTGTTGGTGGTTGGTCAAAGGAGAGAAGATGTGTTGTAGCCGATGATAGGGAAGAGAAAATGAGAACGAGGCTTTGTTGATGGGAAATAGGTCTAATGGTTCTAGTGGTGGTGGCGAGCTGACACTAGGTAAAAAGAAAATGGGTGAGGTTTTTTGTGTGGGAGAGAGTGTGCAAATTTTATTTATTTATTTTTGGCCTCTCCCCCTCCTTCTCTTGTGTGAGATAAACACCTTTTTATAGGTGGAATATTTCCTTTTCTTTTCAAATTTCCTGGTCCAACAAGCAACCTAAATTCATTTTAGTCCTCGTTGTTGCTACCTGATTTTTTATCCATGTTTTGATAAATCTTTTTAAAAATCCTAAAATAGCAAAAAAAATAAAAATAAAGTACATTTTTTAATATATTTGCATCATTTTTAGCATTTTCAGCATCGTCTTAAAAGAATTTAAATTTGTAAAGATCTTTAGAATGCGTTCGAACTTTAACATGTTATTTTTAAAATCAATGATTTTTCTCATTCAAGTTGATGTTGATAAGAAAAATAAAAAAAATAAGCAAAGTCAAATTTACCAAAAAAGAAAGAAGTTGAAAAAAAAAAAGTTGAGGAACCAAGTTTAGGGACCTAGCAATATTTTTGCTTATAAATAAGAGTTTCCAACACATACAAACGGGGTGGGGAGAATTTTGATAAAATCAAGTAGAAAAACAAGAAACCCTAAGCCTAAACCCATCTCTTTCAAGCCAGCCTATATCTACCAACACAAGGCGGCCGCCCCCCTCCCTTAGCAAAAAAATAGATAGGGAGCCACCGCTCTCCCTTCCCCGGCCAAAACCAAAGAAACAAAGCCAGCTAGCCCTTGCCACTCAGACACCAGCTCTAACCTCTACTCCCTTTTCCTTCTCCCCCTCCCTCATTTAGCCAACACCAGCAGATAACCACTCGGCCTTTCTTCCCCAAATCTGCCTTCCTCTCTTTTTCCTGTCCTGGTCAAACCCAACTAGGTCTCTATCTCCACCGGCCACCGACCAACATTCCCTTCTCCTCCAGTAGTAAACCAAACATAGCAGATCCAATAGAACCTGCCGACCACAATCCACAACTGTTCGCCTTTGTAATCCAACCACAGATGCCTTGATAGAGCCATCCACTGCCTATAAAGGAGAAGAAGAAAGTGAAACGGATCTGAATGGAAAGTAAAAGAAACCAGAACTAAAAAACTACCTAAAATAGACTGCTTGTTATGTTTTTGAGTGTTTTGTAGGTCACCGTCAGTGCATAAAAAAAGAGGAGAAAAAGCTAAGCCAGATCCACCCGGTCCCCTGATTTTTATTGCGGCGGTGCACGTGGAGAGGATGTACTGCCACGGTTTCTGCAGTTTTAGTGGGCTTCCCAACACTGTTCTTGAATTTTTGGGGGTTCATTTTTTAAATTTAAAATTATTTAATGTGTTGTTTGGGTTATTTTGAATTTTGATTGCATTATAAACATGTAATTGGTGTGTGCTTAAACATAGTAAAAGGAGAGTGTTTGAGTGGTTGTTTTGTTATTATTATTATTTTTATGTATGTTTGTT